AACCCGGGCCGCCAGCATCAGAGCGTGCGCACTTAACCGCTAAGCCACGGAGCCGGCCCTCAGCTATTATTTCTTTGAACAAGCTCTCTGCTCCTTTCTCTCTCTGTTCTCCCTCTGCAATACCTATAATCCTTATGTTGCATTTCCTAGTTGTGTCGCATATTTCTTGGAGAACTTCTTCATTTCTTTTTAGTCTTATTTCTCTTTCCTCCTCTATCTGAAGCATTTCTATAGTTCTATCCTCTAAATTGATATTTCTGTTCTCCATAATATCAGCTCTGTTATTTAAGGACTCCAGATTTTTCTTTATCTCATTCATTATCTTTTTTTATCTCCAACATTTCTGATTGGTTTTTCTTTATAGTTTCAATCTCTTTTGTGAAGAATTCCCTTTGTTCATTAAGTTATTCCAGATTTCATTGAACTGTCTTTCTAAGTTCTGTTGTAACTCATTGAGTTTTTTTGTGATAGCTATTTTGAATTCTCTGTCATTTAAATTGTAAATTTCTGTGCCTTCAGGATTGATTTCTGGGTTTGTCTTTTTCCTTCTGGTCTGGAATATTAATATACCTCTTCACGCTATTTGATGGGGTGAATTTGTGACTTTGCATAGTGATAATATCTGGTTGCAGATTCCACCTGCCACCACTGGGGGAGGGGAGGAGCTGTGTCCAAGCCTGGGCCATTCCTTGGGACCACAGTGGTCCTGTGGGCTATCCCACTGAATGGGAAAGCAATCACACAGGGGCTCAGGGCTGCTGCTGCCTTCTCCCACAGTCCTACTGAGATGTGCTTCCCCATTCAGGGTTGTAATGGTACTGTGGGCATTTGAAGCACCAGGGAAATCATTGATTTGGGTATGCAGATCCGCTGTTGTCTCCTCCTAGGTCACACCAGCCGTTGTGCTTGATGGATGGGGTGTCCACACTGGGTCCGAGCCTGGGCCACTCCTTGGGGGCCATGGCAGCTCTGTGGGCTCTCCCACTGGACAGGAAAGTGATCACACAGGGGCTCAGGGCTACTGCTGCCTGCACCCACAGTCCTGCCAAGATGCGCTCCCCACTTCAGGGCCACAGCGTTACTATGGGTGTTCACAGCAGCTGGGAACTTATTCAGCTGGGTGTGCAGTACTGCCGCTATCTCCTCCTAGGTCACACCACCCATTGTGCTTGGTGGGTGGGGCCTCCCCACTGGGTCTGAGCCTGGGCCACTCCCTGGGGACCATGGTGGCACTGTGGGTTCTCCCATTGGACAGGAAAGCAATCACACAGGGGCTCAGAGCTGCTGTCACCTGTTCCTACAGTCATGCTGAGGCATGCTTCTACCCTCGAGGCCTCAGCAGTGCTATGAGTGCTCCAGCTGGGAGAGTGATTGCACGTGTGTCACAGGGCTGCTGGGGGGCCAGAGAGTGCTCACCTATCTCCATCACCTCCCTAGGGGTAGTCCATCCACCATCAGATGTATAGTTATGCAGTTCTCTCAGGCATCCTATTGTGGTGTGTGGGTATCCTCCATTGATCAATGAATGTCCATTTAGTTGTAGTTTGAAGGGGGAGAGATGAGAGGAACAGCTCACTCTGCCATGTTGCTGATGTCACTCTGTTTGTTTTTTGTGAAATCCGTCTGTCAGTCTCTGCCCTTTGATTGGAAAGTTTAATCCATTTGTATTTAAAGTGATTGCTGATATGGAAAGCTTTACTTCTGCCATTTTGCTATTTGTATTCTATGTGTCTATATCTTTTTTGTACCTCAATTTCTCCATTACTACTTTCTTTTGTGTTTAATTGATTTTTTGTAGCATGCCATTTTGATTCCCTTCTCATTCTCTTTTCTCCATATTTTTTAGTTATTTTCTTAGTGGCTACCTTGTATAGTGGGTTGAATAGTGTCTCCCCAAAATGTATATTCATCTGGAACCTCAGAATGTGACCATTTTTGGAAATAGTGTCTTTGCAGATATAATTATTAAGTTAAGATGTGGTCATATTGGATTAGGGTGGGCCCTAATCCAATGACTAGTGTCCTTATAAGAAAACTGAGACACATACAGAGGGAAGAAGGCTATGTGATGACTGAGGCAGAGACTATAATGATGCATATATAAACCAAGGCATGCCAAAGGTTTTTGGCAATGACCAGAAACTAGGAAGAGGCAAGGAAGGAGTCTTCCCTAGAGCCTCCAAGAGTATGGCCCTGTCAACACCTTGATTTCAGATTTGTAGCCTCCAGAACCACGAAAGAATAAATTTCTGCTGTTCAAGTCACCCAGTTTGTGGTACTTAGTTATGGCAGCCCCAAAAGACTGATACACTTGAGTATTACACTTGACAACAAACTAGTTTGAATTAATGCCAATTTAGCCTCAATAGTACACAAAACTCTACTCCTATATAGCGCCATTCCTCCTCCTTTATGTTGGTATTATCAGAAATAACATCTTTATATATACATTGTGTGCCATTAACATAGATATACAATTATTATTTTATGCATTTTTTTCAATTCATATAGGAAAAAAAGAGGAATTATAAACCAAAAATACAATAATAGTGGCTTTTATACTTATTTATATAGTTACCTTTACTGGTGTTCTTTTTTTAGTTTGTATAGCTTTGAATTGCTGTCTAGTGCCCTTTCATTTCAGCCTGAAGGACTCCCTTTATCATTTCTTGTAGAGCAGGTCTGCTAGTGGTGAACTTCCTCATCTTTTGTTTATGTGGAAAGTCTTAATTTCTCCATTTTTGAAGGATGGTTCTGCTCAATATAGAATTCTTGGTTAACAGCTTTTTTCTTTCAGCTCTTTACATATTTCATCCCAGTGTCCTCTGGTCTCCGTTGTTTCTGATGAGAAATTGGCCATTAATCTTATTAAGGATCCCTTGTACATGATGAATCTCTTTTCTCTTCCTGCTTTCAAGATTCTCTCTTTGTCTTTTGGCAGTTTGATAATAATGTGTCTCAGTGTGGCTTTCTTTGAATTTATCCTATTTGTAGTTTGTTGAGCTTCTTGAATGTGTAGATTCATGTCTTTCATAAAATTTGGGGAGTTTTCAGCCATTATTTCTTCAAATATTCTTTCTGCTCCCTTCTCTCTGTTCTCTCCTTCTGGGACTCTTCTTATACATATGTTGGTTTGCTTGATGGTCTCCTACAGGTCTCTTAGGCTCTGTTCATTTCTCTTCATTCTTTTTTCTTTCTGCTCCTCAGACTGGATAATTTCAATTGCTCTATCTTCAAGCTCACTGATTCTTTCTTCTACTGCTCTAATCTGATGCTAAACCCATCTAGTGAATTTTTCATTTCATTTATTATACTATTCAGTTCCAGAATTTCTATTTAGTTACTTTTTACAAATTCTATCTGTTAATTTCTTTTTAATCAGTTGGTAGGAAATAATTAAGCGTGTACACCCCAGTGCCACCACTGAAATTCTTCTGTCTGGGGTACTTCTGAAACTCCTGCACACAGGATGGTAGCTGCCCATACCATGTCCCTCTTAGTCAAGACGAATGCTTTTTGGGGCTTCCTTAGGAGGAAATGAGCAAGGATACATTGCCTGCTTTCCTAGATTAGTCAAAAGGGGAGGCAGCCTGACAGAATTAGAAATATCACTGGCCTCAGAGTTCAGATCCTGGCTCTGCCACTTCCCTGTGAGGAATATCATTTCTCTGCACCTTGTATTCCTCATCTGTAGGGTGACCAACTTATCCTGGTTTGCCTGAGACTTTCCTGGTTTTGGCATTGAAAGTCCTGCATCCCAGGAAACCTCAGATGCAGGGAAACCCTACTCATCTATGAGATGGAGATAATATTAATACTAAAGGATGGTTGTGAGGAACAGAAAGAAGATACAGGAAAGCACCCAGGGCATGGTTGGGTTCTATAGTCATTTAATTGTTACTTATGCAAAGTGCAGGGAGGGTCTTTGAAGACTGGGAATGATGCACCAAATAGCTAACACTTCGACATATAGACTTGCTTTCCATAGGGCACCTGAAAGCAGAACCTGGAGAATTTTCTGTTAGTTCTACTTGACCATTTCTGCCAGCTATCCCTCCGGAAAGATCACCATGTGTCAGATCCCTACATGCTGCAAAGGGAGAACCATCACCTACCTCTTTGATGACACACCCAACTTCTCCTTCCTGGCTCTGTTCAATGCTGAAAGCCAGGGCTAGGTTAACTACAACGTGAAGGACTGGTGAGTGGGTTGGGGGAATCTTTCCCCTGTGGAAGTATCTCTGGGGGTAACAAAGGGGGGCACTGAAGTGACAGTCTCTGGGAAAAGGAGAGGCCAACAGTGTCCAGAGGTCTAGGAAGGCAGTGAGGCAGGGGTGAGGCCAGGCCTGCAGGGATGTGGGTACTTTGAGGCCTGGCCCTCACTTCCTGGATCCATGTCATAGGCAATGAGAGGGGCAACTCCCCAAGTCCTGCTCCCAGAGCACTAAGATCTTAATTGTTGGCTGGACTCATGGAAGAATTCTTTGGTGGAGAAAAGTGTTTTATACCAGGAGAGAGTGAAGGAGAGGCCTTGGGCACCACTTCCGTGGGGTCTTTTAAGAGAAGCCCTTATTCTTGTCAACAAAAAGTTGATTTTTGTCTGGCCTTTCATAAGGTAATGTTCTCGGAAGGAATGACTTACTCGCATGTTACAGATGTTCTAGTTCCCATTTTTGTGCCTGAGATCTTATATGCTCAGGCTCCTGGGCACCAGGGCACACGATCCATTTCTTCCCCTGTTGGGTTTGGCCTGAGCCTCTGTCATCTCCCTCAGACCCGCCCTTCCTGACAGACTCCCTAGTAGTGTCACCAGGTGAAGGGGCCTCAGGCTATATTAGATGGAGGAAGTGAGGCTGCCTGCAGGACTTCATGGTTCCTCCAGCCTGGGACTGAGTCTCAAGGCCCTGCCTGCCTGTGGCCTGAGGTGAGGTGGGCTGCCTTCAGGGGCCTGGTGGCAGATCCTCACCTCTGTCTCTCTCCCAGCTGCCCATTTGTCTTGGTCTTGGATGCAGAAGGTGGGACCACCTACGACTACAAGGGCTGTGTAGTCCACAAGTGGAGCTAGACCTCCAAGACAGAGACTTTGCTCTCCCTGGAATATAAGGTATGGGTGGGCAGCACAGGTGGGGTGGCCTCAGCAGCCTTTCCCAGGCTGCCCAGCATTAAGAGCTGGAGAGCTGCCTGTGAGACAGGAGCCCTCCCCCCCGAGGAACTTGTGTTCTCACTTGGATGTTCCCAAGTTGGTGGGTGGTGGTGGTCCAGGGTTGACTGAAGTGAACTGTTCACCAGCCTACAGCAACTGTTGGCTGCTGTACTGACCTTTCTTGGTGATAGCCTTCCTATTTTATTATTATTATTACATTTTGATAGTTAAAATGTCCTTTCTTTTAGAAAGTAACTGTTATAGTAGTTGATAGTTTTATTTTTAACGTCTTTATGTGGCAATAAGAAAATTCTATGTTGGTCTGCCCAGTTTTTGTTTTTATAACTTTAATTATCTGTTAAATAAAAAAATCTGGGAGTCAAAGGTGGCTGATAGACACAAACCCTTTTCTCATTCATTTGGTTTTTCAGACAGCCATTCATCAAAGACTTATTAAATATTAAATCAATGTTGAATTACTAATATTAAATAGTAACTTAATACATTTAATTTACTAATAAAGTAATTAGGTGTGCTTGTCACTTTATCTAAGGCAGAGTTTCTCATCCTTGGCAATACTGACATTTGGAGATGGGTAATTCTTTGTTATAACTTTGCATTGTAGGATATTTAGCAGCATCCCACTAGATGCCAGTAGTACCCCCTCCCCCAGTTGTGACAACAAAAATATCTGCAGACATTGCCAAATGTCCTCTGGGGGCAAAATTGCCCCTGATTGAGAATCACCAATCTAGGGGATAGAAAGATAAGAAAGGCCCCTCAAGGGACTCAAAAGTCCCAGGGAGTAATAAGAATGTAGGGTAGAGAAAGATAAGGCCATGAAAGAGGTACAAGCTCATAGGGTTGGGGTTCAGAGAAAGATCACAGAACATAGAATCCACTTAAGGTGGCCTGAGATTAAGAGCCCCAAGCTAACGTCATGGACAGAAGCACTCTTGGAGTGCATGGTGGGGCTCAGGCACCCTACCCCTAGCCTCATGTCTCCTGCCCTTCTTGTTCATCCTCTACATTGGCCACTGGATTATCATTCTTATATCCCAGTTTCTATAGATCACACTTCTGCTCAGAACCATTCAATCCCTTAAACATGTCTTACCTTTCCTATCTCCTTGGCCTGAAATACGTCCCCTCCTCTCGCTGCCAATCCACATTTTCCCTCCTTCATAGCCCTGCTCAGATTTCCCCTCCTTCGTGGAACCCCAGCCCACATCCATTTCTCTCTTCTCACAGAGCCCACAGTCTGGGTTAGTTATTTGACAATTAGTCATGCAATGCAGAGATTCTCAGCTCTGGTCACATATCAGAATCACCTATGGGACTTTAAAAAAGTGCAGATCCTCAGGCTCAGCCCCAGAGAGATTCTGACTCAGTTGGTCTGTTATGAGTTTGAGCTTTCTGTAGTTTTCACAAAGATTTCTGATTCTTGGCTAGGTCCAAGACGCCCAATCAATCTAGGGGTGTGTTGAGTTGTCTTAATATAAAACTTTTTGTAGCTGTATGAAAAGTTTACAATCCAAGAATATTATGAATCGGTTGCAGGCAGGCATGATATGTTATGTGTCAGTGTGGCCAAGTGGACAAAGAACTGGGATGAGAGTCTGAGGAGCCAAGTACTTGTGCAAGCTTTGCTAGACTCTGGCGGTGCAGCTTTGTGAAAATGACTCAGCTTCTCTGAGTCTCGGTTGTCTCATCAATGCAAGGTGGGTCACCAGACCTGCCCTCCTGCCTCCTGCTGCTTTGTGAAAACTAAATGAAATAATAGTGGTGAAGGTGCTTTGACATCACTCAAGTGTTTTAGTTCATTGTTCTGTTGCCTGGAGCTGCATACGTAAATGCACAGCAGGGGCTGGTGCAGCCAGGAGTGGCCTGGAAGACAAGGTGACCCTTGAGTTGGAACATCAGTGTGTGTGCATGTGATTCAGAGGTAGAGGGAGTAGCATCTCTAAAGGATTGGAGTTGGGACTCAGTGTGGCTTCTTTACAAGTTCACAAGTGCTTCTTGTGAAGGAAGGGGAGCAGGAGGTGTACGTGTTCTCGGGAGGGGGTGAGAGGTGTTGGGTGTCAGGCTGAGGCGTTTGCATGTTGTCTTGGAGGCTGCAGTGGCCAGTTTGTTTTTACCCAGATATTTACCATTTCCAGTGTTTTTCCTTCCTCTCTGAAAATCAAAATTTCCCTCTGTATCATTTCTCTTCAGCCTGAAGAACTTCCTTTAGCATTTCTTGAAGTGCAGATCTGCTGGCAGCAAATTCTCTTGTTTCTTCCGTGTGAAAAATGTCTTTATGAAAGGATGCTTTTGCTGGATGTGGAATTCTGAGTTGACTGCTTTTCTGGGTTTTTTTTCTTCCAACATTTTAAAGATGTTGTTCCACTGTGTCTGTCTTCCATGGTGTATGATGAGGAGTCTGTAGTTATTCAAACCATTGTTTGTTTTCTTTAGCTGCTTTCAAGATTTTCTCTTTTCCTTGGTTTTCTAAGTTTGACTATGATGTGTCTGGGTGTGGTAGTCTTCATATTTATTCTGTTAGGGGTTTCCTGAGCTTCTTGAATCTTTAAATTCATGCCTTTTACCAAATTTGATAAGTCTTCTGCCATTATTTTAGAGATAAAAAAGTGCTCCAATTTCTGTCCTTTTCTCCTGAGACTCCAATTACATGCATTTAAAGGCTTTTAGTATTACCCCAAAGGTCCCTGAGGCTCTGTTCTTTTTTTTGTGTTCAAATGTTTTCTCTTCTCAGATAGGATAATTTCTGTGGATCTGTCTCCAAGTTCACTGACGTCATTCTGTCATCTCCATTCTGGTATTATGCTAATTCTGTGAAATTTTTTTATTTCAAATATATATTTTTAGTTCTAGAATTTCCATTTAGTTCTTTTTATATTTTCTGTTTCTCTGCTGAGGTTTCCTATTTTTTCATTCATTACAAGTATATTTTCCTTTGCCTCATCAAGTATGGTTAAATTAGCTGCTTTAAATTCCTTGTCTGATAATTTCAACATCTGGAACGTATCAGACGGGAATGGATATCTGTTGCCTTGAGAACGGCTCACACGTCACTGGTTCTTCACGTGTTGAGTAATTTTAGATTGCTGACAATGTGACTGTTATGTTGTGGAGTCTCTGAATTCTGATGTATTACTCTGAAGAGTGTTGATAGTTATGTTTTAACAGGCAATGAACTTGATTAGATTCACACCACAAACTTTGTCTCACCTGCAGTGGGCAGCAGCTCAAATCTCACTTCCATTTTTTTGTTTTCCCAGCTGTAAGCTGTCTTGAATTTGCCCTGCTCATGCATGGTTCAAGGATCAGGCAGAGATGTGGACAGTTTATACATAGAATTTGGAGCTCTATTTCTCTGGCTCTGTCCCTTCTGGAATTCTCTCCTTACTTTTCTGTAATTAGAGTTGCCCTAGGTTGTGTCCTTCAGTTCTTTGAGCTAGAAAGGTGGTGGTATTTTGCCCATGGCTATGGCCTGCATTCAGGCTAAAGCTGTAAAATGGAAACTCTTCCCATGCTGGTCCTGTCTTTTAAGTTTTGACTTTTCAAAATCTGCCTGCTTTGGTTTACTCTTCAGAGCCTTTGGGTTTTTTTTTTTTTTCAAGTTCTGTGGGAGGGTCAGCCTGTTAGGAGCTGACTCAGCTATGTTGGAAGCATAACTAGCTGGTTAGTTTTTAAGCTGGGGGCTGGCGTGCTTGGTCCAGCATTTGTGTGGAAGGTCAACTAGAGAGGGAAAGATCAGTGGATGGGCTAGTAGAAAGAATAGCTAGGGAGTTACTAGCCAGACCTCACATGATGAAGGGTGGTAACAATATTTTTTAAAGGAGCCTTTTCAGTAAAAGAATTCGATGGCATTCAGGCATGGGCTATAGCAGATAAATGAGAGGAGAAGGGAATTATAAATGACTCCTCAATGGAATGTGTGTCTGAATAGACATAGAGAAGTTTCTGAGAGGGTCGGAGATCAATGTGGTTTTACACATGCTGATTGGGCACAGTGGCCATATCTCTCTGGGCTGTTGTGACATAATCCTCACCTAGGATGAGAGATTGAGATGATGGATATATGTGACTGGGCTGGCTCATGAGCTCCCAAGAAGATGAGCAGTGACTGACTTTGTAGAGCACTGTTATTTTGGGCAGTGGGGAGGGGAAGAGAAACCACCCAGGGAGCAGGGATAATAAAAATAGCTGCACCATGCTAAGCCCTTGGCATGATTTATCCCATGAAATCTGCTCAACACCCTAGGAGAAGGATTCTATTCCTGTCCCCAGGCTCAGAGAAGCTAATTAACTTGCCTAAAATTGCCCAACTGATAAGTGGCAACACTGGGATTTGAACCCTGTCCAACTGCAGGACTTGAGCTCCCAACCTCTATACTACCCTCTCTAGAAGGAGAACTGGAGAGGGTAGGGTTTCTCTTAAGTGAGAGTGATCTACAAGTTGTGAAGATGTCAAAAAACTTGGCAAGAAGACAGTTATGGATCAGATGTTTTCAGGGTGCTGGAGGGGACAAGCTTCCAGACTGTAGAATGTAAGGAAGGGGCTCAGTGGTGAGGAAGCTGAGTGTTGATCTTTGGGCCAGCAAGTGGGGTAGTAGAAAGAAATGGAGAGAGCAGAATGGAGAGTGTCTTCTTAGTTCAGAGGAGTCCCGGGGTGCGTGTATGGCCAGGGATTTTGAAGACAGAAGGAAGAATGCCACGCAGCAGTGTAGGGCTGTAGACTCCTAGGCCCTTGAGTAGGGCCACTGTGCATAAATAACTCTCTACACACATGAACCACCCAGGGGCCTTATGTGTGAGTTGCTCTGCCACGTCCTGACAATATCTGCTCATGTTTGGTATGGGCCTTTATGGCTTCAAAGCCACTTCCATAGTATTGATCTCATTTGACCCTAATACTAGCCTTTCAACTATTTCATATTGAAGAACTTGAGCTTCAGAGAGTCTCAATGGCTTGCTAACAGGAGAAAGAACTGGGACTTACCCCTAGACCACACAGTTCTCAGTACAGAATGAGTTGCTACAAGGGCATCTCGCCATCTCCATGTTCCTATCTGGGGCTGCTACATAGGAAATCCCCACCCTTTTGAAGTGGTAACAAAAGGTGGCTCCTTTGGGCCCTCCTCAGAGGAAGAGTAGTGAAAGAGTAGTGACGATTTGGTGACTGTATGGGAGGAGACTGAACATGTGTGGCTTGGCCCCTGCTGCGTTCCCTTTTGCCATCTGCCCACCCATCTGCAGAGGGGTGTGTTCTGGAACCCCCTGCCATGTGGTCAGCTTCCCAAGGCAGTTCTGTGGCCTGTAGAGCAAGGCTCATAGTCAGACCTGGTGCCTGGGTGGACACATCATCTGATTCAGGGATAGTGTTGGCTTATGATCCAGGTTGCCTCTCCGTCCAGCTCTCCCAGAACTGAAGCTGATTCACCCGCCAGACTCCTGGATCTCTTTCACAGTTGGTTCCTAGCTTGGGTTGGAAAGGGATGGGGCAGGGGTAAGAAGGCATCAGTTACTTTTTTCTGCTAATCCCCCAAAGAGAGACTGGAATTCTTCTGTTTTCTCCATGAAAGCTAAATTCCAACATAAGAAGTGGAAAGCCAAGCCCCGAACCCAGAAAGGTTTTGTTCTTTGTGGTGGATCAGGAAGGGGTGGGTGAGACAATAGAAACAGGCGTCCGCTGATTACTGGTTTCTTCACCTGCAGGTGAATGAGCAAATGAAGCTAACGGTGCTGGGGCAGGATTCCATCATGGTTACCTTCACCTCCACGAAGGAAAGAGTTATACTAAGTGTGTCCGCCAACAACTGTCCCCACAGGATACCACATTATAAAAAGGTACAGCAGAGCAGATCAGGCACCCATGCCTGACCCCTGGGCATCTCAATGTGGGTTTCCACTCCACATCTCAATGCCTTTGCTCCTCTTACCTTCCCACCTCATGCAAGGCCCTGCCTCTTTCTCTGCCTAATGGATTCCTACTCATCATTCACTGTCTGACCTTAGCACCACCTTCTCTGTGAAACTTCTATCCATGAGTAGTCTTTCAGTTGTGCCAGAATCCAATGCAGACTGGCTTAAGCATGAAAAGAGTCTGTATTGGCTCAGTACACTGAAAAGTCTGTCAATAGGCAGCTTCCGGCATGACTGGATCCAGGCCCTCAAATGATTCCATCACATCTTCCCATCTCTTGGCTCTGCTTTGCTCTTTGTTGACTTTATTCTCGGGGAGTTTCTCTCCTTAGGCTGACAAGATGGTCATGAGCATCTCTGAGCACATTATTCTACCAGCTTTGGTTTCCCCAGGAGAAAGAGGGCTTCTCTTTCCTGAGTGTTACAGTAGAAGTGCCAACACCAACATCATTGACTCTGTTGGCTGCACCTGCTTGAAATGTTTCCTGTAGCTAGGAGAGTGTGTTGCTCTCACTGGTGAGGCTGAGTGTCATGTCCTTCCTGGAAGCGAGCAGGTACAATCAGCCCCAGGTGTACCAGCTGGGCAAAGGATGAGGCAGGAGTGTTTTCCCAAAGGAAAATCATAGTGCTGTCACCAGAAGAGGGAGAGATGATACTGGACAGAATAACTACCAATGGGTGTTGACGACCCTCCCACCACCCCCTTTCCCATCCTGGGTAGAGGCCACCTCTCCCTCTGCTCGGTGCTCCCAGCCATGACTCACCTCTGTTCTAGCACTCATTTACTTACAAGCCAGTCTTCTCCACCAAATTGGGAATTCCCTGTGATTCCTACTGATGTCTGTTGCCCCAGGCACACCACAAAGACTGCTTCTAATTAAGTTCTTACTAAATATTTGTTGGGCAGGTGAGAAAACTGTGGGGACTGGGAACTCAATTCTTCCGTTCACTGGATCCTACTGTATGCCTGGTCTCGACTCAGCATCATGGAGAGAGATGGAGAGGATGAAGGGGACACAGTCCCTGATCTTTGAGGAGTTTATAGTCTAGAAGAGAGCAGTTAACATACACCATGAAACTGGGGTGACCAAGGCCTCATGGATGGAGTAGGCCACTTGCACTGCACACAGGGTGCTTGGCTGGGATTGGCTCACTCTAGAAGGCTCCATGAAGTAGGAGCAGGGGGACCACACCTTCCGGTTTGCCCGGGGCCTGTCCTGGTGTATAGCTGTCAGCCTGGAGGAATTGTTAACAGCATCCCTTTTTGCTCTCAAAAGTGTCCCGGTTTTGATGATCAATTATATGGTCGTCCTGAGCAAGAGGCTCTCGTGCCGAGGGAGCATTTGCCGCCACATGCCACAGGTTCACAGACTCACAGAGCTCCCCTAAGGAGCAGTCAGCCCAACGTCCTCACTTTACAGAGGGACACGGGCGACAGGCATTTGTTAGGGATCCGAGTTATCTGAACAAGACCCAGAGAACACCTTTGTTTCTCCTGGAGGAAAGCATTGCACCTGTTTTTTCCACCACATTTTCATTTCAGCAGCATTTCAACTTCATTAATTCATTAACTAATTCAATAAACATGTATTAGCACCTGCAGTGTGCCAAGATGGCTGCTGGGGATGTAGAAATGAAAGAAGTCTCTCCCTGTAGTCTCTGAAGTACTCTCAGTCTCGTGGAAGGGGCAAAAGCATCAGCACCAGTTGTAATCCAGCTATATTGGTGTGGTGCACCAGAGAGGGCACTGTGGGGGCTGCTGGGCTGCAGGGACAGAGAGTGTTTGTGAAAGGGGTCTCTTAGGAGCACCCAGGACACCCAGATGCCTGTGACGTCAGCCTGCACTCACTCATTACTTCAAAGAGCAAAATCATCCCAGGATTTTGAGCCCATCTGGGCTGAGCTGAATGATCACACTTCTTGATGAGTCCATCCTGTCCATTTGGTTCCATACTCTTGCTCTATAAGCCATTGTTAAGTGACTAAGTATGTAGGAGGTCACATGTCTATGTGTCTTAAAAACCTTTTTCAGACTGTGTAAAAAAATGTGTTTACTTTTCTTATCAAAGGCAATCAATATTAGAAAATTATTTGTTCCCATAAAATTGCAGTAATGCTGTATTTTCTTGGCAGCCTCTAATCTGTCATCGCTGAAGTTTGGAACACAGCTAAGAATCAGGACATAAGCAATTAAAGACCCTCGTGAACAGCCAAGAGAAACTGCTCTGAGTCCCTGTACCAAACCTGCCCTCTAGGCCTAGGAAAGCCCCTCAGTAATTCAAGTTTTATTTTTTCTTACCTAAACGCAACCTTAGCAAGCTAGAGCTAGAAGCGCAGAGCTGTGCTGTCCAGTGTGGTAGCCACAAGTCGCAAATGGCCATTGAGCACTTGTATTGTGACAAGTCGGAATGGAGAGGGCAGAAAGTGAAAATACATACTGCAGTTCAAAGACTCAGTAGAAAAGAGGATGTAAAATTTCCCATTAATCGTTTATTTTGATTCTATGTTGAAATAATCATATTTTGATATATTGGGTTAGATAAACGTTATTAGAATTAATTTCACCTTTTAAGGAGGTTGGTTTTTTTTTTTAATTGATGTTTTAATGGTTTCTAACATTGTGAAATTTTGGGTTGTACATTTTTGTTTGTCCATCACCATATATATGACTCCCTTCACCCCTTGTGCCCACCCCCCACCCCCACTGCCCCTGGTAACCACAGTCCAGTTTTCTCTGTCCATGTGTTGGTTGATATTCCACATATGAGTGAGATCATACAGTGTTTGTCTTTCTCTTTCTGGCTTATTTCACTTAACATAATACGCTCCAGGCCCATCCATGTTGTTGCAAATGGGACGATTTTGTCTTTTTTTATGGCTGAGTAGTATTCCATTGTATATATATACCACATTTTCTTAATCCAATCGTCAGTCGAGGGACACTTAGGTTGCTTCCACTTCTTGGCTATGGTGAATAATGCTGCAATGAACATAGGGGTGCATAAGCCTCTTTGGATTGTTGATTTCAGGTTCATTGGATAGATTCCCAGTAGTGGGATAGCTGGATCATAGGGCATCTCTATTTTTAATTCTTTGAGGAATCTCCATACCGTTTTCCATAGAGGCTGCACCAATTTGCATTCCCACCAGCTGTATATGAGGGTTCCTGTTTCTCCACATCCTCTCCAACATTTGTTGTTTTTTGTCTTGGTGATTATAGCCATTCTAACGGGCGTGAGGTGGTATCTTAGTGTTGTTTTGATTTGCATTCCCCAAAGCCCCAGTAGATAGTTGTACATCATAGTTGCACATCCTTCTAGTTGCTGTATGTGGGACGCGGCCTCAGCATGGCCAGAGAAACGGCGCGTCGGTGCACGCCTGGGATCCGAACCCGGGCCGCCAGCAGCAGAGCGTGCGCACTTAACCGCTAAGCCACGGAGCCAGCCCTAAGGAGGTTTTTCATTGTGGCTGCAGGAACGTTTAAAACTATGAATGTAGCTTGCATTATATTTCTGCTGGACAGTGCGGGTCTAGAAGGTGGAGTCTCCATAAGGGGAGCTTCCAGAGGCAGTCTGACAGTGTGGTGGGTAGAGGTTGGAAAGTTATTTCTTTAAAAGGACATCATAACTCAAAAAGCATAACTGTCTTGGGGACATTTAGCATAGGGATAAACAGACCCATACTTTAAAACAGCTTCTGAACGCAATATTGCATTCTAGATGATAGTTGTTGATGTTGACCAAGAAGACTGGCCAAAAAACATCAAGGTCATAACCCCTTCTGTTTGAGAATGCAGGGAGGTGTAATGTATATTACAACTTTCTAACTAGATTAACAACAAATTAAGAAAGATCAGATTTATTGTAGGTAACAGGATTTCCGAAAGTTAGCTGCCAGGTTAAGCCTCTCAAGGCTCAGGGAATTGGCTCATTTTAGAGTCTTGGACCATGAGAGCTACAAGGAGCTCCCGAGAAAATTTGCTGAGTGTAGGGCCTGGCAGAGAGCCTAGGCTAGGAAGAGGCCACAGGGCCTTGGGCTAGTCTCTTTCCTTTCTGGGCCTCAGTTTCCCCATCCATAGAGTGATGTGTAAGGGCCCAACCCAGCTTTCACACGCTCCCCTCCTGGGACTTGCACAGTCTGCTTCACGTCATCCTGTGTTTGTGTTCAGGGCTGGTTATCACTCATGGCAGTCTAGGAAAGCTGAGGATGGCGGGTAGGGTGGCTTCCTCCCTCAAAGTCCCTGTCACTGGGAAGCTTGTTAAATGGCTTCCCCAGACACCCATCACCCTGGACGGAGCCACACATCAGAGCGACACGCAGAATGGCTGTCCCAGCTTTTATGGTCCTGCGGCCAGGCTCCTCGCTGTATATTTCTATCAAGGCAGCACTGTGGAAGGGAGGTGACACCTCAGTTTAAATGCTTTATTAGCTCAGAGTGCTGCCTCAAATCCTTTTTGGAAGCAGGTTGGGTACAAAATACAAATAAATAAATAAAATTAGCCCAGAAGCAGCAGCGGGGGCCAACAGTTGGAAGGTGGTTGAGGCTTCACGATTAACTGGGGCGTCCTTTACAGAAGTCCTGCCTGTGGGCCGGGAAGGACACGTGGCCACCTGCATTGTTGTTTAGAAAATCTGTCCACCATCCACCCCATTCTCTCTCCACCTGAGGCTTCAATTCCACAGAAGAAACATTTTTTCACCCCTCCTCTGTGTTAACTGGGAGATAGAGAAAGCATGGTTCCTGCCTTCAAGGGGCTAACCAAGTTTAGAGATAAAGTAAAAAATGACCAGGACCCAGGGCAGAAAGGACAGAAATGGGCCGACGCTCAAGTTTTAGCACACGCAGCGATGGGTGCTAGCTGGGGAAATGAGTGAGGGCTTCCTGGAGAAGTCAGACCTTGACTGCAGTTAACCCTGGGATCTGAGCCTGGTTCTACAGGACCATTGACATGCTCCAACAGAGGGAGGGGTTGAACTGCAGGAACTGCCGTCCCACAAGGAGCGCCAGAGCCAGAGTGCCCTTCAGAGTAACCCCAAATTGAGGCGGGAGGCCTGGGCCTTGTGCCCCACAGGGGTCACTCACTCTGTGTAACCTTGTCTGAGGGTGGTTTCTCAGCTGAGATTCTCTGGCAGCTGGAGGGATGAAGGCGATTCTGGAGGATGCGTACAGAGGGGGAGTGGCAGCAACGGCTCTGGAGAGGCCTTTGTCCGTCCAGTTATTCGTTCATGCAACAAGCATTTATTGAGCACCTTCTGAGGGCATGACAGGCCCTCAGACACAGAGGAGACCGAGACCCGGTCCCAGTCCTCTAGGAGCTTAGTCTAGCTGGGGAGACAGGCTCAAATGCCTGCATTTCGTTCATCAAGGACAAACTTCTGTCTTCAGGCTGTGTAGAGAGCATGATGGGGGTCCAAGGCAAGGAACAGCTCTGCCCAGCAGCATCAGGGAAGACCCCCAAGGAGGGGACGTTTGCGTCAGTTTGGGCCGGTGTGCAGGCATTCGCTGGGCTGAGGGGGGGGAGGTGTGTGCCAGGCGGAAGGGACAGCACAGCCTCCAAACTGGAGCAAGACCCGGTTGTCACTGGGCTGGGCAGACAGCCCCTGGCAGGGCAGGTGACCATGCCCTCCTTCCCCTTGGCATCTCCCCAGGTGAAGCACAGAATCAACAGAGGAAGGGTCTAGGCTGAGCCAGGCCGTGGTGGAGATCAAGTGGCGGTTTCAGAAGACAGTGTCTCTGTTCATAAATTCTCTCTTTCTGGCAGCGGGTAAAGGGACAGAAAGATGGGTGATGGCCTGGCCGATGGCTTCCCAAATCCTGGGTCTCCTACAAGTGGCCTCCAAGGACAGCTCTTGACCACCCCAGGGAGGTGGGCATGGCAGGATGATTTCCCCGTTGGTAGATGGGACGATGAGGCTCAGAGTGCTAAAGGGACTTGCTCGAGGCCACGCAGCTAATAACAGCGACCTTGACCAAGTTCCATGTCTGAGTGCTCTCCCGTGTGTCTTCAATGTCTCCATGTGATGGTCCTGTTTTCCTGGGCCTCTCATCATCTTTCATATCTCTCTCTGTCCCTCCCCCCACACCTAAGTCTCCTTTCAGCTCCGTCTCCCGTACTGTCCCGTCAGCTGTTTGCAGCCCCCATTCCTCTCCTTGTTGTGGAAGATCTCAGCAGAAGAGAAAAAAGTAGCCACCTCACCAGGCTGTCTCTGTTAGGCCCACAGAGCACCCCCCGGGGCTCGTGTGGGTGGCCTCGGGACCCCCTCCTCCCCGCATATCTGGGCTTTCTTCCTCACTGCTGATGGGCCTGGAGACAAAGGATCATTGATCCCCACTCCATGCCACCCCCTGGCTGGGCATGGAGAGGCTGTGCTCCCCCCATGGCCTCCCTGGGGGTTTCTCCACATCCCTAGAAGACTTGGTTCAACTGTGCCCTTCTTCCCAGAAGCCTTCCCTGATTCCCCCAGCAGGAAGTGTCACACTCTCCTCTGGGCTCCCACAGCACTTTATATGTGCTCTAATTATAAATCTTACTACCTCGTGTGGTATTTCTTTGTTTGCCCATCCCCCCTGTACCCCCACTAGGAGTTCCCAGAGGCAGGAAACCCTGTTTTGGGTCATCTCTGTATGCCCAGCACCCAGCATTCAATAAATGTTTGGTAAGTGAATGAAGGAATAAGAGGTCCCTGGCCTCAGAAGTTTTCTAGTCTAGTAGGGAAAGCCAAACAAGAATATAAATAAATACAACAAAGAAAGTAGATGAAAATGGCTTAAATTTGGAGACAAAGGGAACAGCATTCTCAGGGAAAGGAACAGCATGGATGCATTGTGTACCCAGCCTCTACATTGAGTGCTATGGAGGACACAAAACTGAATGAAACACAGGCCTTTTGGGAGAGGAGGAATCTAAGCTGGGTCTTGAGGAATGAATAGAAATGAGATTGACTTGTTCTTACATTCAGGTAGCATTTACTGATCACTAACTGTACTAGGGTTGGAGCACTGTGCCAGATAACAGAGGGGAGGCAGCCTGGCAGGAAAATCTGAACAAGTCCAGGAGTGGAGAGGGAGATGAGCAGAAGGGGGGCCAATGTGCAGAGCCTCACAGCAAGGCAGGGAAGGCCAGGCCATGAGGTAGGGTGACAGCAGTGTCTTCTGTTAACAAGCCTGTTAACCATCGAATATAGTGTAAAGGGAAAGACAGAAATCAGCCGACCCAGGACAAAATCGGGGCCCTTTCTCAAGCAGGGCGCCAAGCTAAGTTTACCCTCAGAAGCCCTTTTATTAAAATCTTGTTCAACCCAACGCAAAGCCTCGGCTTTGAGGGAAGAGCCTGAGTCTGCTCTTGTGAGGCCCACTGAAAGGAAGACCAAGATTGAAGCCAAAGCCGCGGTCACACACAGGTGGGCTTGCCCCTTCATTTCTTCCAGCTTCCCCATGTCAGACTCTGTAATGGGGAGTAGACACCCAATGGTGACCAAAACAGCTGAGGCCTCTCCCTCTTGGAGCCGAAATTCTAGGGGTGGGGAAAGAGAGAAGAGAAACACACGAACAACTGAATCATTTTAGAGAGTGACGAGGGCTGGGAAAAAAATGCATTGGGGTAACGGGGTAGAGCAGAGGTTGGCAAACTGCAGCCAAGGGCTAAAATCTGGCCCCGCTGCCTGCCTTCTTTATGGGCAGGCTAAGGATGGTTTTTGCTTTTTTCAACATTTGGGGAGGAAAAAAATCAAAAGAAGAATTTTTCTTGACAATGTGAAATGATATGAAATTCAGATGTCAGGATCCATAAGTAAGGTTTTATTGGAACAGCCACACCCACTCATTTACATATTGTCTATGGCTGCTCTCCTGCTAGGATGGGAATGTCGAGTGGTTGTGACCAAGACCTTCTGGCCTGCAAAGATGAGAATATTCACTCTCTGGCCCTTTATAGGAAATGTTGACCAACCCCAGGGAGGGAGAGTGACTGGGAAGAGCAGTGGGATGTGCTGCATTAAGGGACGGGCCGGGGAAGCAGTTCTGAGGAGATGGCAGATTACTGGAGACCTGAAGCATGAGAAATAGGCAGCCGCAAAGACGGATGGGGAGGGAACACAGACAGAGGGCAGAGCAAGTACCAAGGCCCTGAAACAAGAACAAGTTCGGTACGTGTGAGGGAAAGTAAGACCGTGTGGCCAGAGCATCGTGAAGGGGGAGAAGGATGCACACTGAGGACAGGGAGGTAGTCAGGAGCCGGATCAAGTGGGCTTGTTAGTGTCACAGGAAGCCATTCCGTAACTGCAAGACAGGAAGTGACATCATCTGATTTATGGGGTTTTATTTTAAACTTTTTAAAATAGATAAAATATGTATCTTTTGTATTTTAACTTTAAATATATGTATAAAATACACACAGAAAAATGAACAAATCCTAAGTGGATAGCTCAATGGGTGGCACAAGGTGATATACCCGTATAGGGTATGGTGGTTATAGGTGTCATACCCTGTAACCAACTCAAGAAGTGGACCCTTACCAGCTCCTTAGGTGTGCCCTCTTGTCCCCTCCCCACCCCGCACCCCCGCCCCCTCCCCAAAGGGAAGATTTCTAATGTCATAGATGAGTTATTCTTTTTAACTTTATTTGAGTGGAACTATTCGGTGTGTATTCTTTGGTGCCCAGCTTCTCTTGCTCGACGTTATAGTTGTGAGATTTATCCATGGTGTTGCTTATAATAGCAGATTGCTCATTTTCATTGCTCTATGATAATCTATTGTATGAGTACACTAAAAATTGTACATTCTAACATTAAGGGATGTTTGGGTGTTTACAGTGTGGGTAATGAAAAACTGCGCTGCTGTTAGCAGATGTCTTCTTTCTGGTTGATGTAGGACTGGGTGTGGAACTGCTGTCATGGAGTGTGTGCACGTTCAGCTCCTAGTCGAGACTGTCCATTTTCCCACACAGTGGTGTCAAGTTCCACTCCCACCAGCAGTGCACGTGGGTTCCAGTGGCTCCACATCCTCACCAGTGCTCGACATTGTCGGTCATTTGAATATAGCCATTCTATGACGACGAAATGGTGTTTCATTAGCATTTTCCTGGTGACTACGGAGGTTGAGCACCCTTTCAACTGTTCGTTGACCGTTTTGGATATGCTCTCTGGCAAAATGCCTGCTCAGTTCTCCTGTCCATTTTTCTTCTGTTTGTTTGCCTTTTCTTGATTTATATTCTGGAGTTCTTTATATATCGTGGATACAAGACTTTTGTCATTAACACATGTTGCAAATGATTCTCCCACTTCTTGTCTGGTGATGGTGTTTATTGATGAATAGAAGTTGTTAAATTTAATATCTTATTTTCAATCTTTTTCTTTATAATTAGCTTTTTCTATCCTGTTTAAGAACTTTCCTGTCTATGAATGTTTCAAACAACATGATGATGTTTCCCTAAGTTGCATTCTAGTAGTTTTTTTCACTTTTACATTTATAGCTATCCTCCACTTGGAAATGATTTCTGTGTACAAGGTGAAATAGGGGCCAAGTTTTATTTTTATGTATATATTTTATATATTTTTAAAATTTATACATATTTATTTATTTAATATTTTTATTAATTTATATTATTATGTATATATGTATGTAATATATGTATATTTGATCCAGTGTCACCTATTGAAAAGACTGTAATTTTCCCTCAGCTCTTTGGTGCAAATTCTGCCATAAATCAAGGGGCCCTATATTATTATTATTTGTGTGTGTGTGTGAGGAAGACTGGCTCTGAGCTAACATCCATTGCCAATCCTCCTCTTTTTGCTGAGGAAGATTAGCCCTGAGCTAACATCTGTGCCCATCTTCCTCTACTTTATATGTGGGATGCCTGCCACAGCATGGCTTGATAAGTGGTATGTAGGTCCATGCCCGGGATCTGAACCTGTGAACCCCGGGCTGCCAAAGCAGGGTGTACGAACTTAACCACTATGCCACTGGGCTGGCAAGGGGCCCTATATTATAAATCAAGGGTCTTTTATTTTCTGGACTCTCTATGTCGTGTCCTATTTGTCCAACCTTTTACCAACACAAAACTCTCTTAGTTATTATAGCTTTATCATAAGTGTTGATATACAGCAGAGTAAGTACTCAGACTTTGTTGTTCTAAATTGTTTTGCTGTTCTTGGCCCTTTACATTTCCATATAATTTTAGAATCATCCTGTCAATTTAAAAAAATGTCCTGAGATTTCAATTGGATTGTTAATGTCTTTGTGATATTGGAGTATTTCAATCCATGAACATGGTATGTCTTTTTATTTATTTATTTGTCTTCTATAATCTCTTTTATAATATTTTGTAGTTTTCAGCATAGAGGGTCTTGTTTGTCTTTCATTAGATTTATTATGGGGTATTTAATAGTTTTTGGTGCTATTATAAATATATTTTTAGTTTAATTTTCTATTTGTTGTTGGTATATAGAAAGGCAATTGATTTTACCTCAGTTTAAATTTATTTTTAATTTACTTACAGTAAATTTTACTCTCTTTTGTGTAAAAGTCTATGAGTTTTGACAAATGCATAAAGTTGTATAACCACCACCATAGTCAGGATACAGCTGTTTCATAACCTCTCCCCCCTCAAAAAAAGAAGTTCCCTCATGCTACCCCTTTGTAGTCAGTCTTCCCTCACCCTTAATCCCTAACAACCACTGACCTGTTCTTTGCAGCTATAGTTTTGCATTTTCCAGAATGTCATATAAATGGAATTATACTGTATAAAGCCTTTTGAGTCTTATA